CCCCAAAACCCCAAAACCCCTGAAAATCTTCATAATAAAAATAAGGTTGAGAAGTAAAGCGAGAAATCAGTTTATTTCATAATACTTTATTTAAATTTAAATCTAAGAATGGTCAACTTCTTATCTTTGATCAATCATCAAGGCAGACTCTTTGTAAACAACCCCATCCCAGGTAATAAATCTTTCAAAGGTTTCACTTCTTGAATTATATTATAGAAAATGATGGATTACTAGCAGTTATTGACTTTAAATAGAAAAATAAGTCATATCACCCAATTGATGTTGTCTTTAATAGTGTGGGTGATTCATTTTTGACTTCAGATTCACGCGGTCAAACGACCTTGTTTAATTTAACCAACAATAGATATCTCGTTCTCAACGATTCAGTAAAGAATCCTATAAGTGGTGTTTCATTCACTGGAAAGTATCCTCAAGATTAGGTTATGATTGTTTTTAAGGACAAGACAATCTAAACTCATTCATTAAATGGAAAACTCTTAGACAAGTTTACTTAAGTTCATAATTTGGAAGTTAAAAACTTAGATTTGAATGTAAAAATGAACATGATTTTAACTCTATCTCCTGAAGCATGCCATCTTTGGACTAATAACTCCAGTTCATCTATTTAAAAGATGAGATCAATATTTGCTAAAGATGGATTGCATTTTACTTAAGCAAAATTCACCCCTGATGGTCAAACTGTTGCAACTTTACTTAAAGATGGAGATATTGTTTAATGGTCTCTAGATACAACTGCATAAATGGACACCTAAACTGCCAATCTAAGTTTTAAATCAAAGTAATTGACTTGCTTTGATATTGGATTCTAATATATGGCTGTAGGTGGTCAAGATCTACCACATGTAATTATAAAAGAATTGAGGTCATAAGCTAGATCTGAAACATTTTATAGACTTCCAGCTGGATGTAGAGGAATAAACAAGATGTAATTATTAAGGGACAAAAATTTATTAGCTATGATTAGTGAAGGTTATTTCTATATTCTTGACTTGAGTTAAGTATCTGAAAATGAGGGGAAAGCATTTGTAAAGCTTAACATTAGATTACCTAATGAATCGATAAAAAATTTTGATGTTGATTTCAATATGAATACTGCTATATTACTCACTTAAAATGGAAATGCTTACCTCTATGATTTGCCGAAAGCATTAGAAAACGAAAGAATCATCCAAAGAAGGAAGTTAGATATGGGCCTTGAATAAGAATTAGTGGTTACATATCTTTAAAAGGCTAGTGAAGATGAGATTTATGAAATAAAATAGAGAGACTAGCAAAATATTAAATCAATGATGATGTCTGATTACTCAAACAAACAGCCAAGTTTTATGAATCCACTAATTACTTAGCAACAGTAAACATACGAATTTAAAGATTATGTAGTTGAATAAACAATGAATACTCTAAACAATCCTTTTGCATAGAAATCATTAGTTGATGCCTAAAAGTAAACTATAGCTTAAAGCTATGATAACAATCAACCTAGAAATTTCAATATAAGCTAAGCTTAAAGTTAAGCTTACGGCCATCTAGTCTCTATCTAATCCTAAGCAAATCCATTTTAAACTGTCAACGAAAAATAAGAATTAATGAATGCTGGTTTGTCATCCACTCTTGCCAAGAAATCTAACTTCAAAAAACCAAGCGCCTCAATAGTTTAATCCACAATGAAACAACCTCAATCTTAGTAAAGAAATATTCTATCTCCTTAAAAATAAACTATATAACCAATCACATAACAACAGACAGTAGTTCAAGAAAACTAATTCACACTTGATGAAATATTCGTACCTGATTTAAAATACTCACAATCAAAGTTCTCATAATCTTCTTCGACTCAGTTTAATTTACCAAAGTTAAGATAAATGCTAAATTCATTTGGAGAATACCCAGAGAAATATAGATTTCTAACCTGGAAATTTCTACTTGAGCTACCACTTAACAAAGATGGCTTTTAAAATCTAATCAGAAGGGGTATTCATCCAGTCTTCAAAAACTTGCATAGATAATATCCAATAGCTTAAAACAGACTTTATAATAAATTAGTTAGAACTTTAAGTGCTCTTGGACATTGGTCACCTATTTTCTTAGACGTTGATTATTTGCCATCAATAGTTTTTCCATTCATCAAAATCATACCTAATGATGATTTATTGGTTTTTGAAATTATCATGGCTTTAGTAATGCAATACATGTAAACATGGTTTGAATGTCATCCTTCAGAACCAGTTTCAGTATTAATAGCTATCAATTAAGTTTTGGAAAATGAGAATATTCAATTGAGCGCTCATCTCAAGTAACTAGGTTGTAATGCTAGCATCTTTGCTTGGCCAATGATGAAAAATTTATTTACTGAGGTTCTTGCAAAAGATGATTGGCTTAAGCTTATTGATTACTTGTTTACCTACAAGGAAGATCCAGAGAGAATCATATACTTCTGTGTTGCCTTCTTACTCTCCTCAAAAGGAGCTTTATTTAACGTTTAATCAATTGAAGAACTTCACAACTTTTAATAAACTCCAACAGGAATACCATTCAAAAAAATTGTTAGTCTTGCTACTAAACTTCATTAAAGATATTCTTAGGCTATTTTTTCTGGGCATATCTCTTAAAATTTACCCCTAATAAAAGATATTAATATATCTGGCGGTGAATATCCTGTATTTAGCAGATATCCAGAGCACACAGTCCTTGTTTAAACAAGAATGAAATCATAAATAATTCAGGAGGAAGAGGAAATTCTAAGAAAATAAGCATTATTAGAAGAGCTAAAAACAAAATCTGAGTAAATCCTTATTAATGAGGAATTAATGAGAAAGTAATAAGAAGCTGCTCACTAAGCTGAATTAGAGAGAAAAAGAAAAATCTAAACTGAATAAGAATTACTTCTTCAAGAAAGGATAAGACTCGATGAAATGACTAGATTGGCTAAGCTTGATCATATAAAGAAGCTTGAAGAAGCTGTTATGCAAGCTATGGGTAGATAGGAAGATCTTATTAAAGAGGAAGAAAGAGTTGCAGAGGATGAACTTAATTAAAAGCAAAGATTAGCCTCTTACGAGTATTAAGCTAGACTTTAAGATGAGCTTATAAATAATATGGAGTTTAAAGCAAATCAGAGGATGCTTGAAATGATGTAAAAAAATCAGTCAGAGGAACATGTGAGAAAAATGAAATCAGAATTCGAGTAAAGATAAAGAGAGGAAGAGCATCGAGATAAGGTTACTTAGGAAAGATGGAGACTGGAAGACAAAGAATAAAAAATGAAGAATGAACTTGTGAGGTAGGCAATGTAATAATAGACTTAGACAATAAAGCAGTTAGCTGAAAAAGCAAAGATAGATGAAAGATTCAGAATGTAAGAGCACTAAAAAGAGCTCTAATTACTGTATATAGAAGAATAGAGAAGGCTAAGGGCTTTGGAGGAGGAGTAAATTCTTAAGAAACAACAATTGCTAGAAGATATCAGACTTAAAGGAGAAATTTTATCACAGTAAGACTTGGATAATAAATGGTCAACTTTAAATATGCAAAGAGAACTTGAGAAAGAAAAGGCTAAAAAAAGAATGGAAGATATTGAAATTGAAAGATAAAGACTAGATATGGCAATTGAGAGAGAAAGAGAAGAAAAAGAAAGATTAGACGAGATTGAGAGAAGGAGGAATTAAGAATAAGAGATTCATATTAATCGGACTATTCTTTCTTCTTAATCTGAGCAGCAGAATTCATAAGCAGAATAAATCAGGCGTCAGCTTTAGCAAGATAGAGAGGAGGCTGAGAGAAGAAGAATTGAAATGATGAGGAAAGAGGCAGAATTAAGAGAAAAAGACAACTTAATGTAATATATAAAATAGACAGGATAAAACATAAACAGCATTGTAGAGAGAGGATAGAGAGAACTTGAGCAAAGAAAGTAAGTCAGAGAGAATTCTATCCTAACCAATAATAGCTTTGATAATAGACAATAGCAATAGAATACTACAACTCTACCTCCTGAATACTCTCATTTAAGATATAGAGAATCCTACGAGAACAAAATTTAAGAGAGGGAGAGATAACTTAAGGAATAGAATGAACAACTCCTAAAGAGAATGAGTGAGGAAAAAGAAAACCACAGAACTGTAAACTTAAATGAGTCATAAAATCCATATGCTAACAACAATATGTCAAACACTGGAATGAGTCACAACTATGGAAATCCATACACTATTAATTCAAATGGGTTCTCTTAATATAACCAGACAAATGTGCAAAATCCATATACTCAAGGATTGATGAGCTAAAACCTCTCAGATAAATCTATTTAGAGTTCTCTATCTAGCTCTCATGGGGATACTGATGCTATCAAGAAGCATTATCAAATTAAATAGTAAGTCTAAGATTACCACAATAAATTTAATCCACCTCAAATTCAACCTCCTGGATAATCACAGGTCTTTACATATCAACCTCAGCACTAGCAACCTCCAGCTTAATTGAGAGGGCAGTAGGTGCAACCAACAGTGGAGAGTTCAAAGAAAAAGCATAAAAAGAATAAGAATAAGCAAAGCTAGCTAAGTTCATAAGAAAAAGAAAGCTACTATCATAGTAGTAGCAGCAGTAATTCATCTGGTGAAGATGAAGATGGCGATGATATATCAAACTCAAGCAGCAATTCAGATGCTATGGGTTCTGAATCTTAATCATCCTAAAAATAGTCAGCTTATTTCTAAGGCTAAAATTCCCTACCAAGCGGACCAAATGGATAGCATAGATCTAACAATAACCATAAGAGTGATTACTCTAGCCTAAGCGAAAGTTCAAGCAATTTGTCTTACAAAGATGATCTTAAGTACAGTTAGGGACCTGGCAGTATTAATCCTTATGCTAACACAAATCAAGCTTACTAATATCGATGAAACCAAATGAATAGATAAAACCTATTTAATGACCAATTAAATTGAAATAAAATAACAATTAATTTAAAAAAAAATACTCAGAATCATATGATCATAATATATGGGGTTTTGGGGTTTTGGGGTTTTGGGG